AATGAAAAGCTTCTTTCTGTTAGGGTAATGGATCCAGGTCTTTTAGTTCAGTGCATTTATATAGCACTTTCCTCTGAGCTAACAAAGTGCTTAGACTTTATAAATGGACAAACTGAGGCACAGAGGGGAGCTGCATTGAATTCACAGCCTGAAAGCAAGTCAGTGGTAGATAAAATCCCAGGCATTCCATGCTCCCTGTCTAATCAATTCACTCCATGTGTGGTCTTTCCTAAGCTCAGTGCCAAAAACAGCTGAATACCTGAGGAGGACATCAGTGGGGAAGTATCGGTGAAGCTGCCCCAGCCAGTTGGGTTGACTTTGGAATTCCGAGGATGTAAATAGGAAGTGGTGTCATCGTTGTACTTGGGACACAGTGACTTATCTTCATGATGCGACTGATCCCTCACTTAAAGTTAGGTGTGGCGTTCCAGATCCTTAACAAGGCCTTGGTTTCCTCAGTGTTATGAAAATCTTTTAAGTCCACTCTAATTGTCTTCCAGTGCCACACTTTTTGGAATCAGTCTTTTGAAGATGGACCTTCCATACTATACGAGACGTCAGGCCACAGAGGGGAAGCTGGAAGGTAAAAGTCTATAAAAGAACAAAGAAGGCAGGTGCACACATCTGGATGACTGTTCCAATGCTCTGAGAGCCGCTCTAATTAAAGCACCCCCCACCTCAGAGCATGTGTATAGACTCCCAGAAAGCCTGTCTCCAAAGGAACTGTACTTTCCCTGGCTTTAAGACTGCACTAGCCATTTTATTGCATGTGTGCAGTTGCACACACATTTATAATAAAGACAGTAAGCCCGATCTTCAGTCTACAAAATCAGTTTGTGCTTTGGAATACTGTAGAGTAGAGAGCCTATGGGGGGCATCTGAGATGAGCTCTGTCAAGAGCCAAGCCACAGAGCAATGTGCTGTCATTATCCATGACTCTGAGAGCTGTCATTACAATACCATTCCAGCCAGCATAAGCTAGAGCAGTTGTGTGATACCAGGCATGTGTGTGTATATATGTATATTATTTACACATGTTTGGTATTTTAAGAGCCTTCAACAATTATTTAAGAGCCTTCTGAAACCCAGTAACACATTTTAGTTCTTGGAGCCTGAGGGTTATGTTTTTGTTCTGAAAATCTAAAATTTATAGTGGACTTAACTTCTAATACATGGCTGCCTCTGATCTCAGGGGATGAGACTTGATGACCTGGGTGGTCCCCTCCAGACCTATCTATTGTAGCCCTAGTTCTGGTTGGAGAGGTTGATTCACTTTCGCTAGGGCTGGATCATTGATCTAGGCCAGGGGGTTTCAACCATGGGTACGCATACGCTTGGGGGTACTTGGGATGGCTTCAGGGGGTACTCGGCAGTGGGTGCCACCACTCGCACTTCTGCCACACCGCTGGCACTTCCATCACTGGTACTTCCATTGGCACGCTGCTGGCACTTTTGCCACCACCATGCTGCTGGTACACTTGCCGCTTGGCCATGGGGGACCCCCCTCCAGTAGTCGATCAGCCCCCCTCCCCTCTCATTGATTGGCTGCTGGGGGACTCCCCCATTGGTCACCAATCTGTTGCTGGGGGACCCTTTTCCCCTTCCTTGCCCCCCATTCGTCTGGCCTAGGGGACTCCTGCCTTCTCACCAGCCACCGGGGGTACACGGTTTCAGAAAGGTTGAAAACCCCTGATCTAGGCTGTTATGTTTACCCCAATGTAATGCTGTCCCTGCCAGAAGTACAGCACAACTGATAACTTGGGGCAACAGAAACAAGGACCAGGGAGGCAATGGGGGTCACGGGTTCAAAACAAGGAAGCTGGAAGAGGGGGGCACCTCTTTCAGTCCTGTTTCCTTTGCTAACAATCTTTAGAACTCTCTCCAGACTTGTGGCATAAAAACAGATACTTGGGTGTGACAAAGTGCAATTGCTTTTATTGCCATTCACAAATAATGCAGTCTCCATAAATAACAAAAGCTTCTGTGTCTGAAGCAGTTAGTATATCCCTTCCCTTCTTTTTACCATTATGCATTTCATATACCAGTTTGTGTGTACATATTTGCATAATTCCTACCAAGCGGTTAGCTCTTCGTTTAGGCAAAATCTACTCTGGAATCTCTAGGGGAAAGGCTACAAGGTTACTTGGATGTGTTGCGCTGTTAAGGATTTATGTAACATCTCTCTACTAAGCAGTATTTAAAAATAAATAGGGTACGCATGGGCACTAAAGGGTGAGGCAACACAAACTCCAGCTTGTATTGTATGCAGCAGCCACTTCCTTGGCAGGATAACCTCTATTATGCATTAAGTTACAGTACTATTTGGAGTGAACTACAGTACATTTTGCTCTTCCAGTCTTGGGCCTCCCATGAGCTCACTGTCAACAAACAGCATGGAATTCTTTCTGTTTTTTCTCTGCATCTCATCCAGCTATCTCTAGTTGCCCTACAGCTATTATCTGACTGCAAGCTACAGTAATTAAGATTTGTACAGAATTTCCCGTACTGCACTCCATAGTGTACCCTTTATTTCTCTTATTTACTCTTGTTGTTTTCCTTATTCTCTCATCCCCCTCCTGGCTTGTCATAAATGATTGATTGTCCCCATTTACTGCAGAAAATAATAACTGTAATAAAAAATAGTTTTGCTGGAGGTTGTGAAAATAGCCTTGGATTTTAGGGGTTAACCCTGCTGGAGGATTGATTTACGTGGGGGGGCAGAGTTTGCAATCCAGGCCTTCTCTCGTCCGCTCTCACTTTTTCTGCCTGGGTTTTTGCTAGTTTTACATCCCACAGTACTCTTGTTGTTATTTCCCTGTGGATCCATGACCCACCGTGCTTTAGCTTGCAAAATATTGTGGAATTGGTTTCAAAGTAAGAAACAGTGGGAGATGGGGGCTGATGCTGCTGTGAAGAACTGTACTGTGCAGGTAGATTACGATTAGATGGGGAGGCTTACATTTCCAATATCGAAGGCAGTGATTTTCATCATTTTTGGACTCCAGGCACCCCTTGCTAGACTTGAGGTACCCCTCAAACAATGATGTTTGCATCCCTCTTAGCTTTCACTCCTTTTTTTGACTACAGAAAAATAATAGGACAACTCTTCTGTTGCAAATAACTCAGACTTCAGTGGGTCACAATGTTTTGTTTTGTTTGTTTTTTGACACTACAAATTCCTGTTTGAAATCTCTGGGTTTATCTTGTGAATCATGTTTTTACCCCTAACAGTGCCAGCATTGTGTGGCATCCCTGGGGCACCCTGGAAAGGATCTCAAGGCACCCGAGGGTACCACCACAGAATCCTAGTTGTGAATCACTGATCCAAAGTCATACTTGTGACTATGATCATTATTGTTCCCCCCATCTCAAAACGTTCTCCTCATTATCATCTTGAATTTGAGTATTCATATCATTTCCTTTAGCACAGGCATTATGAATCTATACCTTTAGATGACATTTGTTTTCATTTTGTCAGACTTAGATAAAGCATCTTGACTGCTTCTCTTCCTTTTTTGCCCATTGTTTTAAGCACCAGAGGCCTTTCCTTCTGTGTGGCTGGCTGTACCACGTGTTTTCAGCTGGGTGAACTCAAACCGGGGCCTGCTGTACCAGCAGTGTAGCTAAAACAGCAAAAATCAGTGAGCTCTGAGGCATGGTGTTTACATGGTTTGGGTGGCACAGAACATAAAGGAAATGTGGAACCCCCAAGCACCAGTGACTCATAAGCACCTGAGTGAGACTTGTCTCTCACACATAGGCAGGCATATATAGTAAACACACATGTTTGGCAGTGCCCAAATATTGATATAGAAAGCGATCGCTGTCTACAGAGCAAAGGGACCAGGGACTTGGGCCTTGTTGCCCTGCCTAGACACCATGCTGGACTCTCACCTCAAAAGCACACCCGCCTCATCCCTGCTTTTAGGGGCAGCTGCCTATGCCATAGGCAAGGCACACAGGCAGCAGGAGCCCTGCCTCCACACTTGTCATGTGTGGGTTAGGGGTGTGGGAAGAAACCCTGCCTGCCCTGTAGTGCTTAGAGCCTGCCCTGGCATAGTTTCTGCTATGGCCCTTCCCTCTGTGTTTGTGTAATTGTGTCTGTGTGTGTCTCTCTCCCTCTGTGTCTGTGTGAATGTGTTTTTGTGGCTCTCTCTGTCTTTGTGTGATTGTGTACGTACGTGCCTGTGTCTCTCTTGGTGTGACTCTTGTGTGCATGCGCCTGTCTCTGTGTGTGCATGTCTGCGCGTCTCTGTCTTTGTGTGAGACCATCTCTCTCTTTTGGTATGTGTGTGTGCCTGTGCCTCTCTATGTGTGTCTCTCTCTTTCTGTGTGTGTAAGACTGTGTCTCCCTGTGTGTGTGTGTCCGTGTCTCTCTCTCAGTGTGACTTAGTGTGTATGTGCCTGTGCCTCTCAGCTGTGTGTGTCTCTCTCTGTGTGTGCGACTGAGCTGTGTCTCTGTGTGGTGTGTGAGACTGTCTGTGTGTCTCTCAGCTGTGTCCTCCTCTGTGTATGTGCCTGTGTCTCTGTGTGCGTGTGCCTCTTTCTCTCTGTGTGAGACTGTGTGAGACTGTGTGGGTGCGTGGCTCTCCGCTGTCTCTCTGTGGTGTGTGAGACTGTGTGCGGGTCTGTCGGCAGGCGCGGGGAGGGGAGGCCGGGCGGCAGGTCTGGGCTCAGGCGGGAGCGGGAGGCGAGGCGAGGCGCGGAGCTCCGCCCGGCAGCCCTCGCCGAGGGGCGGGGGGCGCTGCCCT